GATAATGAACATACTCATTGTCCATTCCAACATAACTTCTTTTGAAAACACCGTTTACTTTTGCCGTTTACGTGAAATTATTGTACGCATTAGTAACAATCGAATCTATCATTTAACATGAAAATCAAGTCTTTGTACAAAAGCGAGGAAAAAAGGAATAATTGAAACCATCGTTTTAATATACTTTTACTGTTCATCTCGCAATTGAAGTTTATTTAACTGCTCTTTTGAATATTTTTATTAAAACATTTTACTTGTCAAAATAAAATAACTCCAAAGAACTGGAGGTTTCGATACAGCCACTGTATAAATGACATTAACTTATTAGTGATACTTTACTTGTGTCCTGTCTTCTTCACCTCAGAGTTATGACAGTTACACTTTTGTGCATAGGAATTTCAAAGGAATATATGAACAACCGATCGCAACTTTGTGGTTCTGTGATAGGCGTATAAAAGTTGATTGCGAATTTGAGAAACTATCTGCTCCTCTGTTTTTCGAATGGATCAATCATTGCCCGTAGTTTTCTACCGTAATAATCACCGTGAGACGTCGTTTATCAACAAGCGGTTGAATTTAGCTATGGTCAACTTTTCGTGCCGTGTTGCATCTTTATATGATTATACTGTTTTTATGCCTAATCATTATCTATGTAGTTTGATTGTGACGCCCTCGCCAATACGGATATCCGTGGACATTTGCATACGTGACGATGAACATTTTCCATTCTTGACCGATGGTCATCGAGCAGACTCCATCTGAGGACTGCGATGAGGGTAGCTGGCGATGGAAATGCTGTTGCAGCCGTTCAGCGTCGCTGTCGCGGATCACTGGTCACCACGTGGTTGCGTTTATCGTTACGTTCGGCAGGTAGAGGTTGTGTTTGATTATTAATGGCCTTCTGTATGTACGAGATGTACTAAATTCGTAAATTTACTAATTATTTACAACTTCATTTGTTTGTCGACTAAGCCTCATTTTTTATCTTCAAGAGCAAGGGTGTATCCACCGTTTCTCCAGCAACAGATGGTGTTTTTGCGTTGACTCAACCTTCTTTCTCTAACGAGCTTTGTGTCAACTGCTGGGCTCTACACAAAGGTTCAGTGGCTGCGGCCAAAGTCTTTTCCAGTTATTTCACTCTAAATATTTACTGTGTGGCCACTCGTCGCAAAAACGTCAACGACAAGTAGATGAATAATGTTCCCTGCTACATTAGAAAACCGACGAGGGATCGTCTTCGTGCCAGTTTACATTCGGAATGCAGAAAATGACCCCCTCCTTCGAAGAGCGAGAAAAATTGGCATGTCAGCGATTACAGACTTGCTTTTCATTTACTTTTAGTATGCTTCGACTGAATCCAGGAATAAACGGGAAATACAGTATGAAGACCGCAAGAACGTGCTTGATGCGTTTCACTAGAATCTGGCAAAATCAAGGCATTAGAAACTTCACTAAGCTGAGACTTGTTAAGTTTCTGGATCCAGTCGGCTGTGGGCCATTGATGTGAAACTAGGGCCGTCAAAGAGATGATAGAAATCTGATGATGGATATTGTTACTCCATACAGAACCTGTAACTATGCATTTACTAACACTTCGCATCCAGGGGTTCATAACATTCCTTAAGGAAGAAGGTCAACGGATTATAAAAATATCGGGTAGATAAAGTTCAGAGTTCATAACTGAGTGCAAATGCAAATCAAATTAACGGATAATTTCATGTACCAACTTTATATGAATAGAATCTACCTCGAATGAGTGAAATTCATAGTAAAAGTACTTAATTTCAAGCTTTTTACAGGCGTATATCTAAGCCAACACTAAGATCAACGTAATTTCCTTCTCATTTCTACACTCTTGAACTTCCTTAAAGCTTTGTGGTCGCTGTGGCCCTCCTGTGACACAGTGGCACAGAGTTTAAAAGATCAAATTCGAACTCCGGAGTTGCGGGACAGCGTATATCTTCACCAGAACCACCCGCTTGAACAAGGAATTTACCTCACGGAAATTGCTCAATTGGTAGAACGTCGGACGTCGGATTCAGAACCAAGAGACCCAGGGTCATTTGCTTTTCTTTCTTCTGAGGTTGATAAATAATATTAATCTGTGGAAAGAAAGCAGAGACTACATATTATCTTTGTTACATAGATTGTCGATTCTAGTATTAAAATATGGCACTGCCTGACCTGGAAATGGAGAACAGCGCCCATCGCTAGCTCCATGAAAAGAAGGGCGAAAGAACGGTCATATTATGAAAGTAAGGAAGACTGACATTCCTATGGTTGCAAACTTTCATCTTTTTCCCTTCACGGACCTTGGTGTCTATATATTCCTGGCTAAACAGTCATATTCAAGGACCGCCTGAGACAACTGAACTACATTGGCGAGACGTGATTACTGCTTGAAGAAAAGAGAGGAAAAGGTTCGTCTGATGGCAGCCAAAAAAAATGCTCAGCGAATTCCATTTGTACCTATGAGACTCGTTCCGAAGTACTGTTCGCACAGCCTTTTGCGGTCTGGACTGAAAATGTCTTTAGCTATAAAAAAAATCCTGCATCGTTGAGGAGGTATATTGCCAGTGCTTACCATTGGCCGTTTTTTGTGTGTTTAACTCTGCCACTAATTAACGTCTTTGTATAATTGTCCGCTAAACAGTACAAAGGACGCAGCATAATTTGAGTCTCTGCTTTGCAGCTACGCGCTTCTTCACTCTTCAAGAAAGACATTCAGTAATGTAAAGGCGACTGTCATTGCTGAATGGACGCCACTCAACGTTTCGCTGGGGGATGAGCAGTTGGATTTTCAGGTGAGCGTCGTCTTGTTTGATTCGAGATTCGCTTTTATAAACTTCACTCGTTCCCTGCACTGATGCAGACATACTTCGTAGTAAGTAGTAGTCTTTTATCAAACTCATGCATTATAGATATCCTGAAGCAAGTCAGAACTTTCACATGACATCTTATCTGAACTACATTTCTGTTTATGCCGCTTGTTAACTGCATCGAAGGCTCTCCTCATCTTGCCATCAAACAAGATTAAACATCTGTAGGCGGCACATATGTCATTATGGTTAGTCTGTGACTCAAGCACTATTCTCTCACTGAAATATCTCGACAGTGTTTCTTACTGAGCGTAAATCCATCTATTGGCAAGTTTGTAAATTTTGTAAATTATAGCCCTACAAGAGCTAAAGTTACAACAAGTAAGTGGCGAAATCCATATAGAGGTTAAATAATCCATCCGTCTTCGCAACTAATGGGAACTGATAACCACAACGCATCTGATATCCTCTATCAGGTCAGTATCCACGTCTGTCCCTTAGAGTCCCACAACAGTATCGTTTCCAAATGTTCCCAACGGCGGAAGTATGTCCTTAAGATTGTTTTCATGTCATGCGCACCTATGACCCTCTACATTTCGACATGCTACGTCGGTGACCTGTCCATGCATTTTCTTTTCGTTCTTTCTTTTATTTCGTACTTGAACATCCTGGCTCAGAGTAATAGACCAGATGGGCAGTATTGGCTGCTCTCAGAATGCTAAGCTGCCAGTACCATCGAGGCGTCTTTAACAGACTCGTTTGAATTCAGATTTCTGTTGGCTTGAAGTGTCCGATGTAAGCTGTCAGACAGACTTTCTCGGCCTCAGCTGGAAACCTCTCATCCATAAACGACGGCTACCGTCTTGCTGTCAGCAATATTGTAAGATATTATGGCACTTTCTGCCTCTCCTTCACACGATTAGATCGAAGAAGAAAGTCACCACACTGTTACTCCGCCTGTTTTCGTCCAAGCCTAGAACATACACCAACCACTTCTCCAAAGAAATGCCAACTCAGGAAACAGATTAGATTTGACTTCAGCATACTGCTATCAGTGGTCTTTTAGGTTGTCTCAACTGCCTGATATTCTTCTGCTCAACTTAGTGGTGAAGTACTGGTTGCTTGCTCCTAAGAAAGTTTTACCTCCATCATTCGTTGTAATTAGTTTAGTAAAAATAATTATACGATCAACAGTCAACACGTGACACACACCAACAGAACATGTTTAACTGAATGTAAAGGACACTGTAGCAAAATGTAGACTCTGGTCCGTTTAACTACTGAGTAATTATTAGCGGTCTAATTATTTTGAAGACAAACTTTAAAAAATTAATACTAAGTTCACTCGTGCAATGAATGTAAACGTTTACCGTACTGTAAGATAGGATAGACGGCAGCTAGGAAGACCGACAGGTGGATGGCAATAAAAGCTGAAGACGTTCGTTGGATCCAGTTGGACAAAAACTGTACTGTAGGAAAAGTCTTGGAATTGGCTTCATCCAGCAACGGATGAAACGGCTGACGATAATGAGTAAAAAATTTTCGAGGTGGGGTGTCGTGCACGAGTAGCTGAAGGGTAAAAATCAGATCAGACAAATGGCTTTTTCACTGATTATCGTACGAAGATTACTCGAAAATTATCATCCACGATCCTTTGCGTTTGTTTACAGGGGACATTCGTTCCGCGGACGCATTCCTTCGAAAATTTTGT